ACTCACGCTTTTTCGAGAGAGTACGAACTCCCATTTGAGGTTGTGGTTTGGATTTCCACAAACGGAAAATGGAAGTCTCTATGGAAACTACAATTTGACTGATGTGTTTCGAAACATGTGACTCAAATAGTTACTGTGAGATTAACCCTGTGTTGGTTTGTAAGTGTATTCAAGGGTTTTAGAGGAGTAGTGACCAACATTCACAGGAGTTCATAAACCAACTTAAGGTTCATCTCAGAGTAGTTGTTTGGACCACATGTCTCGGAAGCATCGAATTCGTCAGATGGTAGTTTCGATAGAGACTTTCATTTTCCAATCTGTGGAAGTCCTCACCAACAAGACAACAACCTCACTCTAATCTATCATATGTCCACTTCAAATGGGCGTTTGTGTTCTCTCGCAAAGTCTGAAATGACTTCTTCTCTGTTTTCTTTTTCAAATGGACAGTGTCTGATGTTTTAAACGTTACGGTGTTTGGTTTTCTATGTTTACAGAGGCAACATTAATGAGGCCATTGAACGCCTCAAGCAAGTCATGACTCTGACACTGTCGTCGTTGGCTATTAGAGGTTTTTCCCCAAAATATGTGCTTTTAAAGTTACTGAGAGTTTGTTCGTTTCTGTGTCTGAAACTTTCTTTTCTCGTGTAGCTGTTGCCGTGGAAGCCCTTGTTGGTTTGCTGATTCAGACAGGACAGGTTAAAATTTCAACGATGCTGCTACTATGTTTAGAATGTTGTGTATGTTTTCTTGTTTAGGAATATGTGTAGAATGTTGACTATGTTTTCTTGTTTAGGATGATGCTTCATTGAATGTTGCTGACGAATTTCTGGAATTGGTTAAAGAGAGAGGCAATGATGAGAATCTTCTGGATGTGGTTGCTATAGCTAAAGCGATCAAAGGCCTCGCTGAGCTTGTGAAAGGAAGTATTGAATCCGGTAGAGAAAGACGCCTTAACCTTTCTTCTGTGTGTTTTTATTCCACATTATGTCCTTAGTATGTGTGTAGCTTAATGGTTAGTTTTTTTTTTTTGTGTAGCCGAATCTTTATTTCGAGGACTTGAAACTCATGAAATCTGCAAAGGTACTCACTAGCTTAATGACGTCCTTTTTTTAATGGTGAAACCTGATTTTTGGGACCTCTGAATAACTACATTGTAACAGGTAACATTGCACTTTCGTATGGTGAATTCTTGCACGCTACTGGGAACTTTGAAATGGCAAAGGAGATGTATCAAAAGGCAATTCAAGGAGTGGCAGACACCAAAGAATCTATGTCTTCTTGTAACATGAATTTGAAGGCAGTCTCGTTGGCAGCCAAATTTGCTCTTGGGCAGCTCGAGTCACACATCGGGTAGGCTTTCAGTTTGTGCTTACAGTTCCTTGATAATTTAGATTGTGAAAATATCTGGTTATATTATTAGTCCCTGTTTGTGTTTGCTTTTGTTAGAAACTTTGGTGATGCAGAGGAGACACTCACAAGCGCATTAACAAGCGCTGAGGAACACTACGGTACTGTATTAACAAGTCCCTGTTTGTGTTTTGCTTTTCATCAATCCAATCCAATGAGTAAAGCATTAGTCTACGGATTCTGTACTTCTGATGATCAGGACACAATCATCCTAAGGTTGGTGTGATTTTAACCGGAGTAGCTTTGATGTACCGAAACAAAGCAAAGCAAGAACGCTCGAGTTCTATCTTGATTCAAGAGGTCAGAAACAAGATTCTTTAGACTCAAAAACATTGGAATTTTCTCATCTCACACACCTTTACTTTTTTCATCTCAGGGACTCTTCAGAAGAGCGTTGGAGCTCATGAAAGCACCACCACTGGATTCAGAAGGTACTTACAGATAGCTACTTCACGGGTGATTCTTGAACACCAAATTACATAATTTGTCCTCACCATTTTGCTCTATTCTATAGGGATAATAAACATGGAAACTCAAGAAGTAATGGCTCTAGCAAGATGTAAGCTTTAGCCTGTTTCCTTTTCATAACAGAACAGACGTGATTGCGAAAATGAGCTAAAAAGATCTCGGATTCGTGATTCTGCAGGCGGGTACGCGGAGCTACTACTGATTCAAGAGAACAGAAAAAGCGAAGGAGAGAAAATGAAATCATGGGCTGAATCTGCATGGAGAAACAAACGCATCTCTCTCTCTGAGGCATTGACTCTCTCCGAGCCATTAGGTAAAGTAGCAATCATAGATGCTCGCACCACTCGTGTCCTCTAAAGCTATTAGTTACACATAGCCTTAACAGTTGTGATGAATCTCAAAAGATGCAAACTTTCATTACAAATTTTACATTTTGATGTGTAAATTAAACTCAAAGAGTATTACACATATCGTAAGAGCACATTTTACAGAGGAAGATCAAGTCCTTTCCCAGTCTCTAAACCAATCACCTCAAGTATTCCTTTGTTCAGAATCTGTAAGTAGAAATTAAAACTATGTTTCAGTTATGTCTCTAAATCATTTTACTGCAAAGAAACTCTTTTGGAAACTGACCAATTCGACGATGAAAGTTCCGATGAGACCAATCATGCAAGCTCTTGAGTTCCATATCTCAGCTGTTTGTGTAAATCCCAGAAACGCAGGTTGAGATTTGGGTTCTACTTTTGGCACTATCACCTACAAAAAAAAACAGAGTTTTTAGATGATACTTTTTTCTTCAACAATATATCAATTTCAGAGAAAGTTTGAACTTTACCCCTTCCGGGAGTTTTGCGGCTCGAACACGGAAACACTGTTGTTTCCGACTGAAACAGAGGTTCTGGCTCCGACCATGACCATGAACAGACAAGGTCGAAAGAGGAAGAAACAGAGAAGACGATAATGGCGACGAGCTCATTTTTGTTGTATTTTTGCTTTAACGAAATAAAACAAAAATCTTTTATCATCTCTTAGACCAATTTTCTTGTGGATATACTACTGATCTGTTTCTCATTAGACCAATCAGTTACTGACACGTGTAATCTACAAAAATGAATAATTGGAATTTTTAGAGCCAATTATTCCATTAATATCCATTTTTTTTTTTTGACAAATAGCAAATATATTTCTCCCGGTTCCTTACATTTCTAATAGGAATATTATATTTCTCCTCGTTCCTTACATTTCTAATAATCACCATTTAGAACCGTAATGTGTGTACGAGTAACAAGAAAAAAGAATAAATGTAGAAAAAAAAAGTTAATTTGGTGAATAACCAAAAAAAAAATTATAATTGAAAATGTAACAAAAAAATGGTATATGTGACAATATTTGTGCTCGTTGGATTTAAAGAATTTTGTTATTTAGTGGGTTATAATTTTTTTTATAGTTGTTCAGCCTAATTTCCCAAAAAAGAATATCTCAACTTTTTTGTTTTTTTGTTTTGCTAAAATAATTAGAGATTTTGGTGTTGATTGTCTCAAATATCTCAACTTCTTTCGTAAAAATGCGAAATGTGGTTTTGCTTTCTCTATTAATAAATGTAGAAATCTAATTTGACATAACAATTGTCATTCTTTTCGCCGGACGAAATTTGTCTTCATAGTTATCTTCTCTACCTCTTTTCTTATCCAATCCTTCGGCTCGTAAAATCTGAAAAATGGCAGAAAGATCTCCAACGTAATAATCACCATAATTATTAATGGTCTTTACTTCACTTCTCTGCGACACATTCACAAGACTCTTCACTTCACATGCTTTTCTTCCCAACGACCAATTATACTCGTTCTTTCGAGATTTCATCACTTCAATACATTTCACAATGTTCTCCTGCAAATATTATTCAAATCAACAATGATCAAAACTTCCATTTGTCCACAATATGTTACACAAAACAAATTCATAAGACTGCGTTCATTACCTTATGTTCTTGTCCAAAGAGATTCATGATTGTTCCAAGGTTTACTTCTTGAGCCGCCTTTTCTTCTAGAACATTCCACACCGCAGCAACCGCTACAACACTTGGTGGATACTTAAGCATCTTCAAATCTACATCAAGAATTATGTAAAATTCAAGATCGAGTATGAAAAATAGTTATTTAATTTGAAGCAAGCCACATTTTCAAAGTAGGGATTCATATGTTCTATATTCTTTTTACCGCATAAATCATCTAGGAGATGATTTGTGATTCGATCCATCATCATCATAGTTTCTCCTACCGAACCGATTTTCGATGTGACGAGTAGCGAGAAAGAGTAACTCGTGACGGAATTGACACGCCATTCAAGAGCTTTTAGCACAATAAGTTCCATTTCCAGAATGGTTTTATGGTGAAACATATGATTTAGACCTTCCATTTGAAATTCTTGAAGTGAAGAAGAAGTAACTTCATTAAACTTCGATGCAATCGATAATGAAGTTACTACGACTAATTCCACCATCCAATTCGTCCATTCCTGCAATTATTAATCAGAATATATTCATTTACTACCGCCATTTTCTAGTGTTTAATACGATTAAAATTCAAATATTAACATGTTATTAAAAATTTACATGAACTTACGTTGCAGCTAGTCACATAGAGGAATCGATCAAAAAAATTTGCGGCGGAAAATATCGTTTCAAATGAAAGATTTAGACGAATCCGAGTCTGAAAAAAACAACAAAAATTATCATTACAAAGTTTACAAAAACAATGAAAATATTTCAAACTACGATATACTTTACGTCAAACTACGAAAATATATCATTAATAATGAATCAATAAGCAACTTAAAACCAAATTTTGATTCCTACACAAACAAAATGCAAAAAATATTGTATAGGGTGTTGAAAAAAGATTTAATAGGTTGTTAAGTAACAATGATAGTTAAGCGAATTTTCCAAATCTCACATAAAGGATTACAAAAGATGCTAAAACTTTTTTTTTTCTATTGAAAACTATTAAAAAAACATTTAATAATTTAGATTACCTTCATTAACCATTGAACCGCTTGAAACCTAGCATCGGTTAACTTCTTAGAAACGAGAAACTCAATAAACTTGTCTCCATGATTACTAAAACATGTTTCTTTCTCTAAATCCATAGTAATGGCTTCCTCCACCGTCGTTGAATCCATCGCCGGAGACATCGCCATCACATCATCATTACGGCGGAAGTTTGCTAAAGGCTCCGGAGTTAGAGAACCAGAGAGCCATGACTCGTCGCAGAGTAGATTATCCATTTCGAACCGGTTTAGTTAAACCAGTTTTCCACTCTGGGAACAGTGCTACAAGATC